CTCCTCTTCCACTGGGCAGAGGGAGCGAGGGTGGGATGCGCCGTCCCTTTTCTGTCTGAGCTGCCATCCCCAGCAGCACGCTGGTCCCTGCTCCTTGGGCAGCTCGGCCATCACCCAGCGGGACCCTGCGGCTTTCTTCTGCCTCTCCTGATGATGAAGGAGCATATTTGGGTGGGGAGGGAGGGTGTGAAGCAACACGGCAGGGGTCTGCAAGGCTGCTGCCTGTACGTTGCCCATGCTGCCCATGAGCATCCCTGCGTGCTACTGGCTATTCCCGCTGTTCCCAGCCCAGAGTGGAGAAGGGCAGCACAGCCATCTCCACAGCAGCCATTTCTGCTGGATGGAGAGGCAAAGCAAGCCGGGACAGGCAGAAACCCCCTTTCCTCCCTGTCCTGGGGAACAAATCCAGATCACAGCAGGGGCTGAGTAACCAGCATCCCAGGCTGAGGATGAGCACCCACTGCATCAATTCTGGCGAGGATGCAACTGAGGGAGCAGCAGTGCTGGGATCAGCCTCTCTGGTCAAACCACTGGTGCTCTGAACCACAGAGCCAGCAAGCTGGGTCTCCCACCTTGCCTTCCCTGACAATTTGCTTTCCCGGGAGAAGGGCAGCTCTCAATGTCAGCATTAGAGGTCTCTGAGTTTCTCTGCCAGCAGCATGGGCAACAGGTAGGGAAAGATTTTGCATGGTATTAAAGGCTTTACATTTACACTTTATACTGAGAGTCAACATGGGGCTGAGTATCTGCCCTTCACCTGCATGGCTGTGGCACGCCAATGCTGTGCCCAGCCCATCCTGCCACAGAGCACCACAGCCCCCCAGGGCTGCTCCCCAACCAGGGCCTCCATAGGAACCTTCACCATAACCCATCAACACTTGGGTGGGGAAGCTGCAGATGTCAGTCCCCTTAAAGCCTTTGGCACTGGGGCAGGAGAGGGGTGCTGGGGGCACGATCCACCCCACTGCAAACTCCTCGTTAAACACACATCCATTGGTGTGGAGGCAAAGCTGCCTTCAGAGCTGAAAACAAGCCCTGCACACTGCTCCAGCACAACCTCACTGTGTCCAGGACTGGTGGCAGGGGGGAGGCGAGGGAAGAGGTGCAAAGGTCTCCTGCTTTAATAAATAACAGCACTGGAATTCACAGCGGCTGTTTGCGAGCTGGAGGCAGAGCTCTCCCTGCCCCCCCCGTCCTCGCCGGATTTACAAAAAAAAAAATAATAATTAATCCTGTGTGATGACAAGCTTGGCTCAGTGTTCACTGTACATACTGTACCCACAAAGCTGGCTGCCTGCCAGGGACAGGCTGTGAGCCAGCGCGACCATAACAAACACAAGCCGTGCGTGCCAGTGCTGGGGGGAGCAGCATCCTTAACCCCAGTCCTGAGGGGGACCAGAATCCTCAACTCCAGCACTCAGGGGGACCAGCATCCCCAGGACCTCCCCCAGCAACCTGCTGCTGCAGGCACCCTGAGGAGCTGGTGCCTGGCTCAAAAACTGGTGGGATGGAGATGGGGTCAGGGCTGGGTCTATTGACCTAAACATCAGAAAGCAGCAAGTGGCCAGATGAACTTCCCCAGGACAAGAAGACAGTGGGGAAAACAAAATGAAAACAGACAAAAAAATAGATAAAAGTGTATATAAGGACTTAAAATACAATACAGCTTCCCTGCCAAGCTACGTGCAGGGAGATCTGTGGCTACTGTACCTGCCACCCCCCAGAGATCTGTCCTCAGAGCAGGAGGACAAGGACTCCCGGTGGTGTCCAGGTCCAGGGGTCCTGTGGCTGTCTCCAGCTCCCCACATCAGACTCCCAGCTGTGCCAGGACTGTACCCCCAAGGGGAACATCAGCTGACATGGACTTGCAGAGCACAAGTCTTCCCTCCAATGCAGTGCTCTTGCCCTCCCCTATCTATTTAATTAAAGGCCCTGCAGCCTGTGAACCTGCTACTTGGATTCATTAGTCAGAGAACGCCTAATTCTGCAGTTTTGCTAATGAACCTGAGGCTGGGGCCCGAGGTGGAAACAACGCTCACGCTACAAGCAGGGCTGACCATGAGCAGCTGCGTGGCATGTAGAGTTTGTTATTCTGAGCTGCTTGGTCTGGAAAATATTTCCACAATTAAAGAACTGAAAACAAACTCCAAAAAAGAAAATTTAAATAAATCAAATTACTGGGCACCGGAGAACAAGTTTGCAACGTGCTGCCCGGGGAAGGGTGCAGCCGGCTCTGCACGTGTCTGCTGCAGGGGAGACGTGTGAGCTGAGCAGCCACAGCGTCCCTGGATGGACAGACAGAGCAAGCCCCTGTCCCCAGCCCAGCCCCCCTCCCAACGCACCTGAGTGAGCCAGTAAGTGCATTCGCAGCCGCAAGCTGTCCAGGAACCGCTTCCCGCACAGCTCACATCCGTATGTCTTCATCCCACTGTGCAGCTTCCTAGGGGAGAACAAAGAAGGGTGAGTCCTGAGATGGGGGGAAGTGACCCAAAACAACATCGAGAAACTGCCTGGTGCTTCCTGCAACCCACACTTTGCCCAAAGACACTGCTGGCTTGAGAAGCACTGCAGGGAGGGCACGGATGGGGGTCCCATGTGACTCCCCAGGACTGAGGAGACAACCCTCTCCCTGTCAGTGTTTGTCATTGTTGCTATTGTTGGAGTCTTTTAATAAACCTGATAAATCTGCAATCTGGAGTTAAGGCAAAATCTATGCTGGCAAACTCCTTCCCCATGTTCTGAGTGTTTTTGAAAAAGGCACTGTAATCCAAAAAAAACCCTGACCACTTTAAGAGGTTGTTTGTGTGCATTTCTAACCAAATCCCAATTTCCATCCAAATTCAGCATGACACAAATCACAAGCAACAAACACAACCAGCAGCTCACAAACAGGAAACATGCCACTCACCGTTTCCTGGCAGGTACACCCTGAGCTACACCCAGGCAGCATTGCACAACCTCCAACTGCACCTCCCACCCCACAGTGCTGAGCATCCCCCACATCCTGCTCCCCAGGAGGGGCCTTTCTGCCCAGGGCACTGCCCACAGGCACTGATCACACCAAGGGGTGTCAGGCTCAGCCACAGTGGCCAGACTCTGCATTATTGCCCATTCTGTGGTGTGAAGACATTGATGCTCCATCTTTGTGTAACCGAGCTCTGGACTAAGTGGAATGACCTTTAACAGGCAGCATTAAAGGAGCACAGTCCAAGTCTAAAACTCTCAATGAACCCAACCCAATTCCATCTCCTTCCCAAGACATCGCTGTTGCCCCTGGCAGCCCTCCAGACCCATTTCCCCTCCCCTTTGGGACCAGCCACTGCTCAGCCCCCACCACCCCACAGGGGAGGACTCTGAGGCTCGGTCCCCACAACAGCCTCTGCTGCTGAGGGATGTGGAGGGACACGGTGCCAGGAACATGTGGAACGGACACTTGGTGCTTTATTTTGCCACCTCCACCGGTGACAGACTCCTTGCAAAGCTGCCTGGCTCTGTGCTGGACAGCCATGCTGACCAATGCCCCTGACCCCCAAATGCATGGACTGCTGCCCCAGCAGCCCTCGCTCACCACGAGCTACTCAGATCTGTGCTGGGGAGGACTCGGGACAGCAGCACGTGCAAAGTTTCAACATCGGATGCTGTAAACAGAGAAGTATTTGTGTGTGTTGAGGAGTAACACAGCCCAGAGCTGTGTGCTGACCTCTGATCACAGCCACCATTTATCATCGCGCCACAGCAGGACGAGAGTATTTCTATTGCCTTGTGGTCATAGACAAAACAGGAATGGTCCTGTCCAGGGCTGGATGTGGACCCTCTCGTGGGAGGGCTCAGCCCCAGCTGTGCAGGCTTGCGAGGACCATGTGCCTGTGAGCTCCTGCTGTACTTCCCCTGAGGTGTAAGTTCTACTGGTGCAAAGCAGCTGCTGCTCTGACTCCAGGCAGGATCGCCCCTCGCTGCTGCAGAGAGCCCAGAGCCCCAAAGCACCCCTGCCCCACGGGGCTCAGGGGCTTGTTCCCTGGCTGCTAGCCCTGCATCCCACCTTGCAGGATACTGAATAGCAGCATGGGAAAAGTTGGAGCAGGAGAAGACCCCCTGATGTTCAGCAGTGAGTGAATGCTGCAGAGCAGAAGGGAGAAGGAAGGAGCAGGAGTTGGTTTCAACTCTCAACTTTGCTGTATAATGTAATTATTAATCAGGCTTGTCCTGAATTCACTGTGTCATAGCAGAGGATTAGGAGTCATGCACGAATTCAGGCCAAGAAGGTTTACAATCCAAAGGATTTATCTGCCTTGCAAAAATAAATAAAACACCAGCCTCCTGACAGGGCTCCGCTGCCAGTGAGCAGCTCAATAAGTGACAACCTTCTCATTTTGCATTTTTAATTTGGGACATGCCTGTCACACTCCCTGGCTCGGGCTGTGCTCACTCCTGCACTTAACACCGAGTTAAAACCACTTTGTTAGGAAGACCCATGTCATGCTCTGGGTCCATACTGCCCCTTCTGAGGCCAGAATGCCTTTTCCCTGAATCACAGTCTAACTGGTTAATTAGTTCAAGTAAAACATGGAGGTTTGGGGTTTTTTTAAGCAATTCTCAATAAACAGAAACAGAAGGACAAGTTTCCTACCCCTAAATCTCCCAAACCTATGGCTAGCACAACCTCTTCTCCCATCTCCCCAGCACAGAGTGGTGAAACAAGGAAATGAGGAGACCCCAACCGCACTGGTGTCACTGGAAATCCACCAGCCACTGCCCAGGGCACTACGATGTCCCCAAGTCACATCCTCTGTGCATTGTTTCAAGGGGGCACAGGGGTGCTCAAAGAGTAATTTAGTTGCAATATCTCTATCAACAAATTTCAGCAGCAACAAAAGTTTTCCGCTCGGCGCCTGCTTCTAGGACGTTCTTATCACTCGCCATCTTGCACGGTCCCTTTCAACAAGGTCTTAAAGCGCTTTATCTGCTCCATTTCCCGGTAGCGAAATATGATTGAAGCGTTCTATTTCTGCTCGCCGGATTAAGGAGATGTTGCAAAACTGCACAAAAACCTGGCAGATGTAAGCAAGGTATTACGGCTGCTTGGGCTGTTAAGATCTGAGGGGAAAGATCAATATGTGCTTCTGAAGTTGTGCCTCCAGAAAGAGGGGGCGGGGGAGTGAAGGGCGTTAAAATACATCCCAGCACTGCCCAAACTCTGCCAAAAGATAAACCACGCTTTATTATTCTGGTATGAGGCTGAAACTGTGCTCCTTTCTCCTGCAAAATCCCTACAAGCCAAGCCAAGAAGGCGCCCATGGGACTGGGAACAGAGGCAAAGTGGAAAAGTGCCTTTTTTGTAAAAAGAAGGTTTTCCTCTAATTCCCACACAATGTCCCACTTAAAGAGCATGGAAACAAAGTCAGCCAAAGCCTCCCGGTCCCGAGATATCACTCGAGGATGCTCCTGCACAGAGGATGGCCCAGGGCAATGAGGATGCCCAGAGCAACAAGGATGCCCATGGCACAGAGTCCCCGGGCCAGATCCAACCTTCCCAAGTGAGCCTCAGCACGGGGCTTTGGCAAGGGGCTCTCCAGGTGGAATGCAAAGCGAGCATTACCCCTCCCCGCCCAGCACCGGCAAACAAAAGCCGGGCGAGGGGCTGGCCCCTCGCAAGCTGCCGGTAATTAAAAAGGCCTGTAAATGCCCCACAAAAAGCACTTCAAAGGGACGGCGACTCCAGCGAGACTGCGTGGTGTAAAAATTATGAGTTTTCCCCACAGGGTGCTTTGTGTGAAAAGGCCGGGCTCGGTGGCAAACGCCAGTGACCACTGCTCGGGGATGCAGGGGCTCGGCAGAGCATCTCAGGGTGCAGGAGTTTGGTGGAGCACACTGGGCTGGGGGTACGGCTGCAGCCCTGCTACCTAAAGACCACTGCAAGTGTCCCACTGCCACCACAAGCAAATCTCTGCTCTGCATGCCTAAAACCCTGCCTAAAACAGCCTTTCACTGTCTGTACTTGAGGAACTCTTGTATCCCAGCCCCTCTCTGCCACCCCTTTTGGGAAGCAGGAGACCCCCTCCCCTCCCTCCACGCTGAGCAAGACACATGGCTCTTGGCCGTTTGATTACTTTTAAGTGTGTATTTTTCCCCTCAAACAGAGTGAATACAATGGTTAGGAAATTTGACAGAAAACTATTCCAAGCCATTTATTGCCTTAATGCGCACCTTTGTCCAACAGGCAGTTTTGACAGGAGCGATAAATTCCAAATTTATGTCAACAGAGCATATGTTGAACACCTCATTTCTGAGCTAAAGCGGCATGCTGCCCCATAAATCACCCTTCTGTTTGAAATGAAAGTAGATTACGGGCCCATGTTATTGAGCAGTTAGAGCCATAGTCATATAAATCAGAACTTTTAACTCCAGGCGATCCGTTCTGCAATTAACTAAAGGGCACTTTGTCATCTCCGGGCCAGGGCACAGCTTGGCAGGGTGGCCAGCTACCGAGGGAAGGCAAGAACCCCTCGCTGCCGAGGAAAGGCACCAGCACAGCGAGGTTCACTCGGTACCTGTTGGAGCAGCGAGCCCCAAGACAAAGCCTAGAGCAGTGTGTGACTGGAACACAGCCTGGCACGGGAGATCCACGGCTGCAGGGGCTTGCACATCCCTGCCCACATCCTGCTTGATCCATGTTTTGGACATGAAACACAGTGGGGGCATCGGGAGGCTGCATGATACAAGCAGATATAAGCTAAAAGCATGATACAAGTCCTGTCCAGTCCAAAGCCAGGCAAAAACATGCACAAGTGTGGTGCTCAGAGTCCTGCACTGACAGAAATCTGTACTTGGGACTTCCACAGCGGTTTTGCTGCATCTCCCAACACCCATGCACAGGTTGAGATCTTCAGCCCGCTGATTCCCCACATCCATCCTGCTGCATTTCCCTGGTTTGCTCCCCTGCATCTCCCAGGAATGCCATGCCACAGGACAGGGGGTCCTGCGGGGATGTGGGGCTGGAAGATGCTGTGGGCAGTGGGACCAGAGGATGCTGTGGGGCTGGGGGATGCTGGGGGGGCTCAGCCCAGTGAGTGCTGGCAAAGGGTGCGGGTGCAAGGGGCAACTCACACACATGGGAGTGTCACAGCTATAAAAAGATTCAGACACTAAGTATTTCCTTTCCTATAAAATATTCATTGCTGCACATGAGTACCAGGGAGTGCAAACCTCCAGTGGTTCTAACTTTGTGCTGCAGCAATAATGGAGTTTTATGGGAGCCTTCTGATTCTATTTACACTGGGCCATCACAGCAGTGCCCTGCCAGAGGGGCAGCCACCAGCCAGCACAGCCCTACCACGGCACTCGTGATACACTGAACACTGGGCAGCCAAAAGGGGACCAGTGCCACTCTGCATTCCCCAAAAATCTTCCCTGCCACCCTATTTCCACCAGTGACTCTTGCCT